GACACTACATGATCTAAAATTTATTGTATATTATGTAAAAATTATAAACATATGACCACAATTTATATTCCGTCATAGGATTACATGCAATAGAGAAAAATAGTAGTATTTCATTAACAGTTTTTTTCCATTATAATACGATGTGTAAAGACGATTAAACTTAAACTTTCTTAAATTTATTGATACTAATACTTTTTATATTAAAGGTAAAGATTTAATTTAGTAAGTCGTACATTATATACAATTTGGTTAAAGCAGACATATTGCGAATGAAATTTTGAATGCTTGTCATTTATTTCCTGTTTATATTTATATCTATGAAGATGATTATTATTTATTTGTTTAGTAAATAGTAAATAAAAGGGATTTTGTTTAATTGCGTCATCATTAATTACGAGCTTTTGATTGGCTGGTACATATATACATATTCAATGACAAACTTATCAATCAAGTGACTTTGTTAAATTTTTTTTTTTTGACATCAATAACAATAACAATAACAATGATTTTCATCGTTGTCTATTTCGAGATAGTTGAAATAGATCAAAAATTACCCATAATATATTCGTCATCAATATTAAGCTTACATATGTTAATTATTTTCATTATATATATATATTTAAAAAATTTCTTTATATGGCAAACAAATGTTTTCTATATATAACTTTATATATAATGACTATAATTATTATTATCTCATCCTATAAATTAACGTGGGGTATATACATACATATTGATATGCATTATATGCAGGCTAAATGCAAACAAAAAAAAACTAATTGTTTTTCTAACTAAAACAAGTGGATGTTTTTTTAAATTCAAATCTGAAACAAAAACCCACAATGTCATTCTGGATCTCACATGTTCTCGTATTGAATTTAGCTCTGATGATGTAAATGTTTGTATATTTTTGTAACAATTGTAAATTACATGGACTTCCTAATTTGTATTAACACCCAAGTGAAATATTTTTAACTGTTTCAGTTCCCATACACTTGGGTAGATAAAATCATCATTGACCAAATTTTAGTGTAATGAAAATTTTATGCAAAAGCCTTTTATTTTTTTTTATTTTTTTTTTTTAACGACGTAATCTTGTTGTGACATTTATTAATTTAAAATTGATTAGAAATATGTAATACATATAAAAAAAATTTAAATTATTTACAATGCACAACCCCCCCGTTTTACCGTAAAATAGTATTCGTTTGGAGCGATTTGACGTCGAGATTATTATTTATTTGTTTGGGTAAGATCAATCATCTATTTGTAAATTTTGTTTGTTTGCGTGATCATT